CGCGCAAGGTGACACCGGATCCCCCAGCGGCAGCGCCTTCGACAAGGGCAGCTAGGGTTAAGTCTAGTGGTGGCGGGGTTGGTGGGGTTTTAAAGTATTTTAGGCTGCAGAAGAAAGTGCCGCCGATACAAGAGGAGGACTTCCACCGGTTTCGGATTTTGCATAATAGGCTGCTGCAGTGGAGGTTTGCAAACGCCAGAGGTGAGGCTGCTAAGCTTGCTACACAGAAAATTTCACAGGTACTAGTTATACATTAATGCTTAATTACTACATTGCCTCTGACGGTGTTGTAAATTACAATTTGCCTCATGATGTTCCCATGACCCAGTTCACCCCCTAAACCATGTTGTCGTTGCCCACTTTTTTCACGCCGTTAAATTCCCGTCAAATATACCGTCCAACATGTTTTCGAGGCATGAACAGGGTCTGATATTGTGCTTATTTGTGTTTAAGTGAGAGTCAAATGTAACGAGCTTTATTTGTACCACACCAACACTTAAGCATTATTGGAACACACTTTTGAGGGGTAACATGGTAAATGAGGCCTACTAGTTAACTGGTGCACTATGTAAATTTGCTTAATAAATTGTCTTTTATTTTTCAGGATAAAATTGTTTAGTGTGTGGCTTAGAACATTGAAAGTGAGAAACTTCATCCTAGACAAAAGAATACAAGTGCAAAAGGTCAAGCATGAGATTAAGGTGTACCAGATTTTGAACCCACAAATTTTCCTACTGAATGAATGGGGAAAATTGGATAAAAAAAAATTAAGAATCCATCAGCAGGTTGGTGAGAAAATTGTCAGGAATTTCAAACACAATCCCTTTGGTCAATGATGCTAAGGTATAAGTTCAACTCTCTCTTTTAGTCGGGATAGTTTGTCCGTTTGTTACACTTAAGTTTGAATCTCTCTTTCCGTATATTGCAGGCAGATGTGGCATCTGTATACGAAGCCATGACCCCGGCCATGGCTGCGATGGAAGGTAATTTAGCAATGCTCTCTAAACTGCTGCCGCAGGTTAGTTCCTCTTTATACAGTTAATTAAAGTAGAAAAAAGCCTAATTTAGTTTGGTATCTTCCATTGGATCATTATTTGTATATAATTAAGTTCTAATTCGGATGATTTTCTTCAGCTGGAAAAGGTCCTTTACATGGTTACGGAGCTATTAATCGCACATAAACAACAGAGAGACCTGGATAGTAATTTAGCCTTGGTTTCTGCACTTGCGGTGAGTCGTATTATCTTTCTGTCAAGCTCACGCAATTTTCTGATTTATATATGGAATGGATCGACGACACAACTTTTTTTACATAATTTTTTACACGTGTTTTTATGGGTCCATTTTGTAATGTTGTTCAATGATCCAATTCTTCTATATTTAAGATCTTCCCTCATGATTCATGTCTACAAAATATCACCAAAATCTGCGACCATATGACTGTTGATTTAAGAGTTTAAGTTGTTTTTAGAGAATAATATTCATTTATTTTCTTCACTACAAATGAATGTCTTAATCGCCTTAAATTTGTTGAATTTTTGCAAAGATAATTTATGAATGATCTAAAAGATAGATGGTTCGGAACATTAAAATAATTACATAGTAGACCTCACAAAAATATGTGTCAAAAGTTATGTAAAAAAAAAAAAGAAAGATGGCATGGATGCGCCCCACACACACACACACACATATATATATATATATGAACATACCATAGCAAAATCATTTTCAGTAACTGAATTTTCAAATAGCGATTATTATTCAAATTTACATTATTAATGAAGGAGAAAAACTTAAGCACGGATACCTCCGATCGTAGGGAACCCCCCAAAAAAAGCACCAGAGTTTTCTGAATTTAAAAATTTAATGTGAGTAAGATTTTGCAAATTTAACATATTTTTAGAGGCAAATAATTAATTGGAGGTTGTAAATTGATCTTATCTTTTATTAACAGGAGGAGGAGGCAAGTGTAAGAGCACATCTCATCCAATTGGAATCAATGTACCTCTTGCCCCCCAACAAATTCTTATAAATTTGATCAATGAAAAGGTCATCTTCTACTTAGATGATCCTTCGATCGTTGTGCTCATCTTCATTTACCTCCAGTGTGATCTTTTATGGCATCAATTCTTGTTCAATAGTAGGACATGCTAGAGAAAAAAAATAGTTATCCCAACGTGCATATCGCACTTTTCCTATAACAAACATCACGTTTTGTTCTGATGTGTATATCCTTTTGTTTCTGTAACAAACATCATATGTTGTCCAGTGTGCATACCGACATTTGCCGTACTACATATAAGGTGATCTTGGTCCATGCATGTATGAAAATCTTGAACATAGTTGAACCCATTGCTTATTTGGTGCTTTCATCCTTTCGATTGAGTTTTATTTTTATTTTATCAGGTTATATATGCCAAGCTTAATTATTTCTTTAGATATAGACCCTTGAAATTCCTATTTTCCAAATAAAAACCCATCTAAATTTAAACATTCAAATAAAACCCAAATTTCAAATAGCCTACCATGTAGACAAATATATGACCAACTATTACAATACAATTACAACTTATGCCATAGAATCCTAATTTGGTCAATAAATGTTATTACTCATCCTAATTATGATGAGCAATTAAATCCATATGGATATTTTACCTTTCTTGTATCATAAATATTAGCAACATATATAAATTAATTTACCAAATTTAAAAGAGAAACACAATCTTGTACGGAAAAAATAATATTGTTATGTAATTACCTACATACAAATTAATTTACCTACTTATAAAATATTATACTAATAAACCTGCATTTTGAATCATGTAATTACCTACATACAAATATTATACTAATTTACCAACATTTAAATTAATTTACCTACTTATAAAATATTATACTAATTTACCTACATTTAAATTAATTTACCTACTTATTAATATTATACTAATTTACCTACTTATTAATATTATACTAATTTACCTACATTTAAATTAATTTGTGCTTGTAGGCAATTAAATAAACTTTTAATCTAATGCACATAAATCATGTAGGTAACTTAGACCATTTTGAAAGTAAACTAGACCCTTTAAATTTTGGTTTGATGTAATAGGTAAATTAGACTATTTTGTAGGTAAGAATTGTGCGGAACATATAGCTTTTGTTTTGTGTATTAGGGATTGAAATATTAGCCGAAACTGTTTTAGGTTTATTGTTGTGTTGGTAGGTAAATTAACTTATATATGTAATGCACAAAATTATGAAATTAGTATTATTATTTTTCAATTGGCAGGTTATAACAATTTGAAAGTTAATACATTGAATATGCAATGAATGGCATGAATTATTTTGTAAAATATATAAAATTAATTAAATGGATATAACAAGTAACTGATCCAAAAACCTCTTCCAAGTATTAATAGGGGTAGTTTAGGCATTCGAAAAATACACAATTTGAAAAGTCAAACTTAATTAAAGTATTTGTTTAATTGGAGGCTAGTCAATGGGCTTTATTCAAGAAAACAAAAGGAGATGGGTTTTAGTAGAGGAAAATATAGTTTCAAGGGGTAATATCAAATTTTCAGCTTAATTATTAGTATATTACTCAATAGCCTAAGCTTGGCGGGAAAAAGAGTATGTGTGCACCCGTAGGTCTAATGGGCTTGAAAATTCAGCCCATTCAACCCTCTTACTTAAGGCCTCTTCCAACTATGAAAAGAATGATAAAATGAGCTTGTTTTTACCTTTGTTACACAATCTAATTAGCCTTAATAGCAAGTAATTTTCTGATCCAAAATAAGTCAAAGTAACTTCAAACGAAAATAGTAGTTGGTCACTGAGGCAGAGAAGAATCCAAGTTCTGGTGCCCAACAATATAATACCGAGGGCAGTTAAACCCTTCAACAAAATTGAAGTTTACCGCCATAATCAATTCTCGGGATGTAGATGTTAAATATTTCAAGAATATATTTATATATTCACGTTGGCTGAAAAATTGGGTATTTACCCAACCGTTGCTTCTCTTCGAGTGAAACATTGCAGCTATTAGTTTTTAATAAATATATAACATACTACATATTATATGTGTGTGTGTGTGTGAAAATTGATAGTACCAAAATGAAAAATACGTACTGAATCCTACTTCCCCATATACGCCATACGCAAACTACACACACGTACATGAATACATGTGCATATGTGTATACATAAGAATCTGTACACACACGTACATGAATACATGCGTATATGTGTATATGTAAGAATCTGTGTGCATAAAGTCCAATGATATGCTAATCATAAACATATTAAGTGAATTCATATTTAGGTTGCAGGCATGCAGCTGCCGAGCATACAATTTTTCGGTATATCACAAGAAGTAACTTAGGGCCTCTTAAATTTCAAGTAGACGGATCATGAGCCCACTCCAACAACATCGATACTGTCTCCATTTGGACACTTGCTCAATCTGTCAGGTGTGGGGTTTTAATACAAAGGCATCGATGTTAGTTAGACTGAGGTAATTCTATTTAAAGGAGTGTTAGTTAAAATAGGGTAATATTATTTAAAAGACTTGTTCTCAAGCCTTCTGACGGATGTGAGACATAGGAATTCTAACAGGGCCATGATGAACAATAAAAGTTTCAAAAGTTTGCTAATCTAGAAAAGCAGGAGTAGCACAAACAATTCACAGTGTTAGAACAGAAGGTAAAAAGATAGTCAAAGTTTCACATCCCGACCCTTAATTTATGTCCACTACTTCCACATCACTTCCCACCAGAATGTTCTTGAGTGACATTAAGCTTGTAATACACATCATGTGCTTTCGATGCATGCAAGTTTCTCACCGTGTACAAAAATCTTGATAATATTAGTTGAACTCACTTAGGACTTGTTGGAAAGTATATTATAAATAATTGAAAAAGTTTTTGGTAAAAATATATAACACTTAATTAATTTATACACATACATGCACAAACCCAAAACCATATATAAGAACATAATAGTAACACTTGAGAAAATTTCCATTAAAATAAAAGTAAAATAAGAAATCACTTCTCCTATACCAATCCCCACCATTTGAAAAATAACATTAAAAAAAAAAAACCCAAAAAAAATTAAAAACCCCTCTAAGGCTTTTAAAAGTAATAAATAATCCTATTAACATTCCGCTGCTGGCTTTTGTGGCAAAGGAATATCATGATACTCAGCACAACCACTCCCATTGTGGCCATGCCCAACACTAGCTAGCAACTTCCTCTTGGGCTTGGCCTCGAGCAGCATCAACACCACGTCCCTCATCGACGGCCGGTCCGCGGGGTTCTGGCTCGCGCAGAGCAAAGCAATCCTAAGCATCTGCATCATCTCCTCCCTCACCGGCTCGCAACCCGCCCCTGCATTCTTGTCCAAAACGTCATTGATCCCGTCTTTCATCTTGATCTTCGACCTAACCCAATGCACAATGCTATTCCCGTCTCCAAACTCGGCGTCGACCGATCTTTTCCCGCTTAAGATCTCCATCAGCACCACCCCATAGCTGTATATATCACTCTTTTCATCTACTTGTAGGGTATAAGCATATTCTGCGAAAAACAAGAACAAAGTTAACTTACTATTTTTTTCAATTACAAACGATGGTGCTTCGTAAGTTTTGCTACTCTAAACGAAAAAGAGAAGATTTGAATCCAAAATGCAGTAAGTTGAATAAAAATGTCATATCCACCAAGCAGAGCTGCTCTCCTAATGTTCTCATTTCAAGGACAAGTGAAGTCCATTTTCATATGAACTATCAGATTAATCTTACGGTAGATTAAACTATCAACTTAAATAATCTATGTTACGTGAAAACAAAATACTAATTAATAAAACAAAAGAACAAAAAAAAAAAAAAAAAAAAGAAGAGAAGAGAAGAAGGTTTCACGTCATGTCGAATCTCATCCATCTTCAAAATCTATTATTCGCATCAAAGATCTAAACCCAGCAAATCGAATTGAATAAAACCCTAATAACTTTACACGTCCAATATCATCAAATCTTTTATTTATGTTAATTAACCACATTTTGAATGAAGATAAAATTAACCACATTTTAAATGAAGATAAGGTGCATGGCCCCAAAGTTGATGTGGTATTTCAATCAATGTCAACTTTTTTTTTACCTTTTTCTTTGTGGGTTTATGTAATGTGAACTAAGTAATAGTGATTTGTAATTTTTATACATGGAGATCCGACCATCTTAAGAATTTCATCATAGTTGTGCAGATAAAGGATCCAAAAGAGAAAACAAAATTGTTACACCTTTTGACCAAATGGACCAACCATCTTAATATTTCCATTTGGATTATGTAACTAATATTACAAATGGAATTTAGTAAGTGACGGTTGCTTTTAGGAATAAACATTCCTTTGGTTGATTAACCCCAACACACTAGATAATTTAGATTTCGTCATCCAACAAAACGAATTTTTAACAACAAAGCCAAAACCACAAATAACAAACAAAAACAAGCATCACCTAACTAACTTATGCGAGAGGTCAAATATTTATAGTACACATAATATGCACGGATATAATCGAATATTAATTTTTTTTTTTTAACCAGTCTATAAATGCATAATATTCTACTCATGATAATCTTCCACAAATTAAAACAATATGAGAAATGGAAATTGATGAATCAACTCACCTGGTGCAATGTAGCCATAGGAGCCGGCGATGACAGACATGGACTCATCGCTCTGGATCAACTTGGCCACCCCGAAATCTGCCACCCTAGCCTCCATTTCACTATCCAATAAGATATTACTCGGCTTAAGATCACGGTGCACAATCACCGGGTCACAGTCGTGGTGCAGGTAGCAAATTCCCTGCGCCACGCCGAGGGCGATCTTGTATCTCGTGACCCAATCCGCCCCCAAATTCTGAGCCTTGTTTTTGCCATGCAACAGATCATCTAAATTGCCATTGGGCATGTACTCGTAGAGCAGCATGGTGATGTCCCTGTTGCAGCAGCATCCTAACAATCTCACAATGTTCCTGTGCCTAACGTTCCCCAACACCTCCACTTCAGCCAGAACTCCTCTTCGCCGTCGGATCACAATACTACTGTTCTCCTTCTGTTTCCCCCACAGTTTCTTCACCGCTATGATCTCGCCACCTGGCATCTCAGCTCTATAAACCGTCCCCGTGGACCCCATCCCTATAATCTTATTACTCATCTCCAGGCACTCCAACACGTCATCCGCCGTGAAATTTAACCGCTGGAAAGCGGTTAATTTCCACGGTCCGATCTGCTGACTTTCGTCCATCTGACGGCTGTAATTGGCGTGGAAGCAGCGGGTCCCAGCAACGAGAACAAAAAGCCCGATACCGAAAGCAGCCGCCATAATCCATACTATCGCGCCTGCCGTCTTCTTCGGCTGCTCGTGGCCGCGAACGTCCACGGCTCCGGCTGACAACGTGTCACAGGGCTTCCCCAGAACGCCGCCACATAATCCTTCATTCCCCAAAAACGACGTCGGATGGAGATTCAGGAAAATCGAACCGGACGGGATCGGACCGGTCAACAAATTAAACGAAACGTTGAAGCTCTCCAGCGTGCTACAGTTCTCGAAGTTGGACGGAATCGTGCCGGAGAGAAAATTACGGGAGAGGTCGAGGTCGGTAATGGAGGGCAAAGCGGAGATTTCCCATGGGATAATGCCGGTGAGAGAATTGCGGCTCAGATTCAAGCTGAGAAGCTTCTCGCAGTGCCCGATGTCCCACGGGATCGAGCCGTTAAAGTCGTTACGTTGGAGTTCGATCTTGTACAGGCTTTTGCAGCCGATGAAGTCGGGGATTTTACCGGTGAGGTGGCCGGAACTGGCGGAGAAGATCTGGAGATTTGGTGCACGCCAAATGTTCGACGGAAGGACTGAGTGAAGTGGGTTCAGTGAAATGTTCAAGTAACTGAGCTCTTCGGCATTGCCGAGATCTTCAGGTATCGCGCCGGTGAAATTGTTGCCGCTCAAATCGACGTAGGTCAAATTGGGTAACAACCCGAAACCCGTCGGAACCGACCCATTGATTTGGTTGTCCTGGATTCGGAGTCGTAAAAGAGAATTGCAGTTTGCTAACGTTTTGGGAAGTGGGTCGGTGAACCTGTTGGAGAAAAGTATGAGCTTTTGGAGCTTGTTGCCATTGCAGAGATTTGGCGGGATCGGTCCGGTGAGAGAATTGGAGGAAACGTCGACTCGCAGGAGCTTCCCACTGAATCCTAAGCTCTGGGGGAGGACACCCGTCAGTGAATTGTTCCAGAGGAGGAGGTTTTCCAAGTTGGGCAGCTCTCCCATTTTTTCCGGGATTTCTCCGACGAGAAAGTTGTTCATCAGGCTTATATTAGTCAGCCTTTTCAACGTTACAATTTCCGGTGGGATTGAGCCGGAGAGCTGATTATCCGACAAATCGAAAGTCTTCAGACCCTGTAAGCGGCCTAGAGTAGCCGGAATAAATCCCGAAAATCGGTTCTTGAAGAGCAGCAATGTGTCGAGCATGGTTAAGTTGCCGAGCTCCGACGGGAGAGCGCCGGAGAGAAAGGCGTTGGAGACGTCCAAGTACGTGAGATTTGACAGCATTGCGAGTTGTGCAGGAAACCCACCTGAATACTCGTTGTACCCGATCTCCATCCGGGTCAGCTCCGATAAGAAGCCCAATTGCGGTGGAATTGAACCGTTAAGTGCATTTCCGGCGAGGTAAAGGAATTTCAATCTCGGGAAACTTCCGTACCCTTCCGGGATTTCGCCGTCGAAGTAGCTTCCGCCAAGGTTGAGCCGCTCGAGATACCGGAGTTTGATGAATTCCTGAGGCAATGGGCCGGTGAAGCTGTTGCTGTAAGCGGTGAAGATTCTTAAAAACCTGAGCTTTGAAATCCCAGGCGGGAAATCCGACTTGAAGTCGTTGTGGCTGATGTCGAGGATCCTTAAGTTGCCGAGCTCGAAAATGGCGGGAGGGAGAGGGCCGTCGAAGGCGTTGCCGCTCAAATTGAGGTAGATTAGGGAAGAAAGTTGGCGGATTTGAGGTGGGATTTGGCCGGAGAGGTTGCGGCGTGAGAGGTCGAGGGCGACGACTTGGGAGGTGTTGGGGTGGCATTTAACGCCGGACCACGAACACCAACCTGAGACGCCGCCGTTTTGTTGGAAATTGGGCAGAACCCAGTCGTGAAAGGAGGAGAAAGGGTCTTTGAGGGAGGACTTGAGAGAGAGCAGAGCAATGAGCTGGAAAGAGAGAGAAGAAGAGGAAGAAGAGCAGAGAGTTATGGAGGTCTGGAGAGAGAAGAAGAGGATGAGAGAGAGAGGGAAGGAGGAGGAAAAGGAAGGAACTTTCATGGTTTAGGGGGTGTGGGGAAGGAGGTGGTGGGTGAGAGTGAGAGGGAAAGAGTGTTAGGAAATTTAAGGGAAGAGAGGTTTTGATGGCTGCTTCTGTTCAAGAGAGAAGTGCTTTTCAGGAGTGCTGGGGGCAGAGGGTGTTTCATGATCACCATCATTAGGTCTTTTGCTCCAGTGGGATTTCTTGGTGGACTTCAAATTCTAGTGAGAGAAACTAGAGAGAGAAAGAAAGAAGCAAAGAAATACATACTTCTTCTCCTCCCTTCTCTCTCTCTCTCTCTCTACTAATATAATCTTTGGATTTCAATTTCAATTTCCATGGCTGGTTTTCTCTCTCTAGTTTTTTCTGTTTGTGTCTCTCTCTCACCTCCTGCAGCTGCAGTGGTGCTACTGCTGGGGTATTCTACCTTTGTCTAATACAATCCTTTTGGTTTTATTGGGATTTAAGTTTTCCTTTTCTTTTGGTTCTACTTTTCATCATTCCTTGGGGGTACCCTTTATCTTTGTGTCTAGCAAATTGGCAAATATTGTTATTTTCTAGCACAGTAGCAGTGACAAATGCCTCTCACAGGATCCAAGAAAGTCGTTCCAATTTCCCACCATATTCTCCTCCAATTTTTTTAAACATTTTGCTCCCATTCCCTTTTCTTTTCTTCTTTTTCTTCTTCCTTATTCCCAACATTTTCATCTTAATTATTTGATTTAAATTCGAATTAAATACTTTCTGGTAGATAATTAAACTCGTAATGACACGCCCTAATTGCTGATTCCAATGTTCGGAGAAAATTGAGATGGCCACGTGTTGGCTGATACTCGAGGAGTGCCGTAAGCTATTTTATCTTGCTTATGCTTTGAAATATCGATACATTATCGTATTTTAAACTTTAAAGATTTGTTTTTTTATTTATGATTATTATGTATTTGCCGCAATTTTGCATACATGTTTACATGTTCTTAGCTTAAGCATGATAGGATGAGTTTCGTCACTCTTCAAATGACGGTCAGCAAGTCACCATTTTGATGTCCTCCGAACACAGGAATTGGGGCGTGTCACTATGACTGTGTTTTACAAAATACACAAATAATATGTGAAAGATGGCGCCGATTTTTGAAATTCAAAAGAATTCCCCAAAATCCTACTTATTATTATTATTATTTATTTATTTATTTTTTTTTTGGGAAAAGAAAGTCGACCCACTGGGCTTCTAGGAAGATCTCTGTGGATTATTATTATATACGGGATATACTAGTTTTGTTTTTATTTAGATAATGTTTAGGAAAATAATGATGGCCATTAATTATTTTGTATAATTAAGCTTTGTTTAAAGTATTGTATGAAGCTTCCAACCCAATCATCTTCCTTCATTATGAAAATTTTTAGTGTGCTAGGAATATAATTTGATACATTAAGTATTATAATACAATTGATTAAATTTTCTTTTTCAATTTTCCAACTATATATTATTATATTTAATTTACAATATCGTATTTTTGAGACACTAAAAAATCGCTCCTCGTTATCTTATTCATCTGGATCCAGGTTTTGCTAGTACTTACACCCAACAACTTTTCTGGTGATTGCTTACACGATTGTCGATGATATTATTGGAACTTTTAAGGTTTAAGAGTAGCTTAAAGTATTAACAAAACTTAGATCAATATGTTTAGTTTATTAAAAGGGAAGTGTTATTGGTACTTCAAAAATCTCATTATACACTCCTCACAAGTGTATTTTTCTTTCTAAATGTAGAAAGTTTGGAGTGTAGAATGAGAATTTTGGAGTGCCAATAATAATTCCCTACTAAAAAAATATAAGATACCAGTACACAATAAGGCCATTGGAAGTCCAACACAAGTTGGCAAGGTCCCCGCCTTGTATAACATCCCCCTAAGTTTCGAGTCTCGCCATTAGTAGTCTTGTGTTGGTGGGCAACATGTAAAAATTAAAAAGGGGCACAAATTTGTCTATAAGTCCTCAAAGAAGTTTTTGGCATGCCCTAACCCTGAAATGTGGTAGTCTCCCCTCCCCTTAAACTTTTCTGTCACAAAAAAAAAAAAAAAAAAAAAAACAAAGAAGGTCATTAGGAATTAAAGTTTAATGTTCTATTTTGTTAATATTTATATTTCCGAAAATTGCACGTTATAAATAGGTTGTTGTAACTAAAATGATTAAGACATTAAAGTAGATATTTCGTTGAAGGCAACGGATATCGCTGTATCCATCAATATTTCCATACTATCTTGCCTCATTTTATTTTAATTCTTCACATTCTATTCTCTTCCAATAATCTTTCCTTTAATTTTTTCAATAATTTTCAAATGGCCACCTCTTTCAATAATCTTCCAATATGTCCGAAATCTTATTTTAATATGGTAATTTAATTTAATTAACTATAATAATTCAATTAAAATAATAAATTATGTTTGGTCTATGACATTTTGGCTCTCTCGGTTGGAGATGATTTTTTGTCAAAAAGGCTATGTTTGGTCTATAACTCTTTGACCCCCTCGGTTGGAGATGATATAAAATTTGGCCCTCCTTCGGTTAAATGGCCTTACATATTCTATATAGTCGCATTCTATGATGGTAGAATGGAGATTTCAAATTATAAGAATACTTGCTTTAGGCATGGCTTTTCAACTGCGCGTGCTGAGTGAGTGCCTCAGACGATGCTGCGTACCATCACGAGAGAGACGAGGAATTTGAAAGGGACGTCTTATGTTCTTATTCTTTCCATGCATTTCTTATCGGAACCAATTTACCATTCAACCATTCACATTCAGGTAAATTACCACAAATTCAATCTTTGGAGAGATTTAATTGCCAGGTATTCAAGCGGGTACTCGATGTGTTATGAAATAAATGGAGAGACACAGAAAATGCATAACTTCTTTCACTATTTTTTTTTGGACCAATGCTAGTTCTTTTTAGTACAACGATATATTTTATGCTAAGGAGAGGGAGGAGCTTGGCTAAGCAACAAAATGGACCTGATTTCGTATCGAATTCATCATCCACGAGATTCGAATTTAAAACATCTCACTTACAAGTAAATGAGAATATCACAAAGCCGTAGTATTGAGTGATTGGACCAATGCTAGTTTAACTACACTAAATTCATCTAGACTACAAAAAGAAAAAATTAAACACTAAACCTCAAATGTTAGAAAAATACACTGAATTACAGGTCACCTGTATATTGTTTTCTCAACTTATATTTTGACATATAGAGTACCGCTCAAATATGCGGTAACTGAAAAAGTCTCCGGAACTCTGAGAGAAGGCCAGGTCATGGTTGATGGGGCCATGAGAACGGTGGGGTGGCCAGGTGGGCCAAACTACGAGAGAATGTGTGACAGTGCTATAGTGCGGCTCAGGATCACTTTGTCTCCTTCGTACCCTTCACTTTGTCGTCTTGTCTAGTGGAAAGTTGTAACATCCTCGCCTTGTTCACAAATTTATTGTAAATATAATAGAGCAAATCATACTTTGCACCATGTAGTTTGTGGTCAATGACATTTTGATCTTTATTACTTAAAATTTGAGAAAATATACTTAATGTTAACAGTTGAACTATCAAATTAACTGTTATTCTTAGCGTCGTAATTTGGGAGTCCATTTTTTATTTTTACTAACATTATATCAGTGTCACATAAATTCACATTTTTACAGAAACAGTAAATATAAGAACTTTTTATTAAGAAAAAACAGTATAATCTCATGTAACATCAATTTAATGGTTCACGTAACATTAATTTAATGTTCGTATAAACATAAAACGTCCCAAATGAGAGCAAAATAAATCACGTAGTCGTTGAATGCGGTCCAATATCCTAGTGAGTAGGGTGTTAAGTTTTTACTCATGCGTCCCCGTAAATTATAGTAATAGTTTCGAATTCTTCAACCTCCCTTAATAATAAGAAATTAAAAAAAAAAAAACATAGTAGTTAACTTGATACATGCTGGTGATGTACCACTTTGTAATTACTTTAAACGGTTTTTTCTTCTCGACAAAGAACTTGTAACTCAAGTGTTTAAGGACAATTATTCTTGCACCCGAAAATCCTAGGTCCAATTCCCCTTCCTCGATAGTTTGTAGGAAAATTTTTAGATAATAAACATGGGTGCAAAATACAAGTAATCCTAAAAATAAAATTATAAATACAAATTAAGTAAAAAGAATGGGGTAAATATGAGAGAGCGGAACGTATAAAGTGCATGCGTTATTAGGGTAGAGGAAGGTATGAGGCCGCGTGACGGAGGTGACCACCACCACAATAGGGCATGGCATGGCACAACAGACACGAGGCATCAAGAGGCATGATGCGCAACAAGGCTCCTTTTGCCCCCCACGCCAACGCGTGATTTCATCTCAGTTTCTATAACGGTTGCTCCTCCTGCTCCGCCCACTTTCTTTTTCTCTGACGCTTCTTTCTCTCTTTTCCCCTTCCTTCTCTCACCCTCTGCTTTTTCCATTTTCCATTTTCTTTCTTTTGTTTTCTTGTTCTTTTTTATTTGGAATTAGGATGGGTGATAATATTTGTATGACGAAAAAGCCAGAGTGGAAATTGTTATATTCGAGAAATTGATAAACGGTTACGATCAGCAGGTGCTATATTTATCAATATTTGAATGTTCAACGCGACTCTTCCATTTTGTATTTTCGATTAATCTCGATTCTTGAATCCTTGCAGTCGTACTCGTACATACTAACAACGAGTTTCGAAAATAACAAGCTACCAAACATTGTAATAATCTGTCTGTTTCTGTTGGCCGTTAGTTCTAGGCCTACTGGTGCAGAAAACCTACTTGTCCCAGAGGTATATGCATGGTACCCCATGTGTCTTTATCTCACTCCTCTCGCATAGGAATATACCGTCATGACAGGTGAATCCTTCTTCGATATATCCACTAAACGCTCCATGCCACAGTATCTAGGGAAAAACAATGATGAAAAACTGAGATTTCGCATAAAATACTTTGTTCTTACCTGAAGCACGTTGCTTTCATGTACCCAAACACATTCGATAGCGTTACTATCGTCACATGGTTAGCTTTGAAGAACCCCTATAAATACTTGTCCTGAATCTTACTGTGCATATATTTGTACCGGCATGGATGAATACAGCACTGCTGTTGCTTGTGTACATCTTGTTAGAAGTTTCGTACAACACTATTTGGTCTCTAATCTCCCTTAGTCTGCCAATGTATAGGATGCACCAGTATGTAAGATACAATGACACTTTGGGCTGTTAGATGCATAGTCAAGAAAAATTTAAAAGTTTAAAGTCTCGTTATATAAAATACATCGCAACATACTAGAATCTTCGCCAATATAAAACCTTAAACAGACAACTTTGATGTCTCTAATCTCCCTTCTTTTACATTGTTTCGAGATTAATTGGAATCTTCAAACAACTAAGCTGCAAGTCAATGGAAAAACTGAGCCACTGACATCTGTGCACATGTCAAAGGCCCCAAATGCACATGAAACATTTCTGCTCGAAGACTCTGTACGCAATAGACGTTTACAATACAAACCAGCATGGCCCAAACAAAAGCAGAAATAGAAACCCTAGGTAGGGTCAAATAACATAATGATTAAAAATTTGAACATTACTCGAGAATAAGATTGAGTGAGAGTAAAAGAAGGACCCCACTTCATTCTTTCTGCAGAAAATAAAACACTCTGGGAGTTGCGGTCCCAGTGTTACTGTTCGACTATTCACACTCAGTCAGTCACCGAAGGAGTAATCTTTCCCCTCCTAATTTTTATCCTCTCCTCTTCTCTGGCATATAGTCATTTTCTTGCCCCTTGAAATTAATTTTTCCCTTTTGGTGTATCCTCTTTTGTGTGTGTTTTTCTTCACATAAGGGCATGCACTTTCTAATTAGTGGAGAACAGAATTATTAGGGTTTGAAGGTGAGTGATATGATCAGCATGTGAGATCACCTAAGTCAAGATTTGGAGCCAAAAGCTAATATATCTCAACGTACATCTACCAGTCATATACAAATACAATTTTGCCCTCCCTCCATCAAGACATGGACATGCAATTTTAAGAAGGTTGAGCCTCTATCGTAGAATCAGTTTATAATAGGGGAAATAGCCTAATCTCTTGCAAGCTTTTATAAAGTTTTTTTTCTTTCACTAATGTGAGACATTTTTACCTTCACATCCTCACACACCCCTTCACGTGTGACGACTTTTCGACCCAATTATGTGGACAACACGGATTGGGTAACGTAGAGCACATATGACCGTTGAGCTTCATACATAGTTTAACATGTTCTAATACCATAAAAAAAAGTTTAGGTTCTACCATAAAAAATTCATGGACAAGTCAACTTTATTGATTTGAAGGAAAATAACTCAATTCGTCGTCTTAATTAGTGTTTTTTGTTTAAACTTCATGATATATTCATTGTTGTTGTTTTATGTTTTGAACATGAGCTCTTGACCTTTTCCCAAATTCTTAGAAACAAGATATATAGAGATGCCCCAAACCTATGCTTATCGTTAATATGCTTGTGCAGAATCATATGATGAATCCCAAAAGTGGTTCATCTTTTAGGGGGGAAAAAGAATAGGAGTAATTAACAACTGCTTCAAACCCATTATCCTAAATTATATTTTACTCTCCACGTTGGTGTCTAATTAAATGACGTCTTGTGATGGATATCACCTTAATTAGTGCTAAGTAGCAAGACACATGCATGGAATTCTGATCTTGTAAACTTATCCACATCCTCTATATATTTAGAGGTCTGATACATATAGTAATATTTACTAACATAGTATATGAAGCCAAAAAAAACTTACCAACTTTTATATGTGTAAGTGATGAATTAACTTGGTAGATAGAGCATTTTTCTTTAATCTACTGCTTACGAGATTTAAGTCACCATTTTCTTAGTCTAATTTGGAGTAGTAATACAGTATACTTGCCTTTGGTGTGGGGGTTATCCGGTCATAAGAAAATAGATAAACATACTTGCCTACGGTTTACCATTTTTTTATAAGAATTCATAAAATATACAAAGGAAGGTCAATTGACCCAATGCAAGTTATATCATTAATAAAAGGGGGAAAGGGTTTAACTAGTTGTAAGAGGAGCAAAATTTTGTCGTTTAGCTTGTAAACAACTTGTTGGGAAGATTAATTTAGAAAGTTAAGGTAATTAAGCGCGATCCATGTGATCGATTAGCTTTTTGTAATAATCACCCATTTGAAACCTTTATATGTAGGTGAATCCTTGTGGTCTAAGTGAATTTGAACAACATACAAAAAAAAATCATTGCAGTTACATGCCATGCTCTATCATTTGGTGTTTTGTTTAGAAGGAAAAAGATGCTGAAAAATTAAGATAGGTTGAGACAATTGAGAGCACCACCAGTTATTTTGAGTGTATGTGTAGAAAAATGGGAGATATTTTTATTCCCATCCGTAAGTGATGGTGATGCTTACTATCCTCAAGTGACGGTGATGCTCACCACCCTATTTATTACTGTTTGATGAGTTTAAATTTTAAAATCTGTGTAATGAATAGATACAAATCTCAAAATTTAAATTCACTTAATGTTAATAAGTAGGATGATAAGCATTACCAATCACTTTAGTACGTGAGAAAAATGCACCTGGAAAAATGAGATCGACGAGGAAATGATTTACAAGACCTTCTAAAGCAAGGGGATAGAAAAGTGTTGGGGACGGTATTGGGAAGCTGCCCCAAATTACATTGTTAGGTCAAGAGGAGATGATAAAAGCCGTGATATTTTTTAGTTTTTATGTCTTCTTTACATGAAGGCACATCCAAATTCATTGATCCAGAAGTATGTGCCTTCCTGGTTATCTATCCGCTTCATTTTCATACATCAAACATGTACCTGAACATGCATGTTTCGCTAGTTCAGTCACATTGTAATGTGATCTCAAAGCTATCTTTTAATTCGTTGATCAAACGAAAATTGCATTCGTAATTCAGCCACAAAGATATAATAAGTACATATAATATACAGTCAAAGAGATATTGTTAATGTTTTCTTACACCTGTTATCTTAATGCTAACAGTTTTTCAATTTTCCACCAAAGTCCCGCGCATAATATTCCATCTTGTGTGAGATAGTTAGGAAAAATATTAGAAAAATAGTTGAGTTCGATAACATTTTCTGTCTTGTAACAAATTTTATATTATTCATGGACAAAATGATCATAGAGTGTTTCTTATCCCCCCAACCCACCCCACCCCACCCCACCTTCTCTCTTTTTTATTGACAAAAGTTTAGGGGAGGGGCGGGTATTCTGAATACCAAATGCCTATTGGAGGACTTATAGAAAGAGTTTTAACTTATTTTTTGGTTTTATACATTGCCCACCAAGAAAGATTGTCGACAACAGAACTCGAATCTAGGTTTTGTTCTAGTAAAGAGAATGATCTTTCTCAACCCAACCAAGCCTCGTTGGCCCATCCACTTCTCTTTAAAATGCATTGTTTCATACTTTTGAAAGAAAATTAAAGACTAAGTGCTAAGGTAATGTTCGGGAGACTAAATTTATAAACAAAATTTTGTAAATTAAAAAACATGAAAGTTGATGATTTGATTATTATTAGTTGCTAATTAACGTGCTTATTTCTTATTGATGACACATCATTTAACTTGCAAATTTAGTTTACCTGACATTTCTCCTAAATGCTACGAAAACTGTGGAGGAAATTCAATCTCCCAAGGAAAAACTCAAAAACCACCATCATTTCCTTTTGGAAGATTATACTCATATGTCTTTGTTGGATACTTGTCTGCAACCCTAGTCTACATTTTAATCATAAGTTTCATCTTTCTCTTTTTGTACCACTTTTGTGCCCAAGATTTCAAAGCTTATAATAACCATTGTTGGTCATTTATGGAGACATTGGAGGACAACCAATATACCCGTGGGAGTCCTATGAATCATCACAGTTTCTTCTTTCGTCTCGCTAAGGCTCCAACCTCATCAACCTAGCTAACTACACTAGCAATTTGATCAATTTTGTTTTTCGGCTTATTAGAGGATCTCGAACTCTAAACCCAATGCACTCCTACCCATCACACTTTCCGCCCTAATTCCACTAACCAAAAAAAGCATTTAAGTCGTTTAGTTTTCATTATGATTAAACGCGTAAGATAACCTTTCTGCTCATTTGAGTTGAAAGTTAAAATGTTCACTTCTATTATTTCCATTATACCTTGTTCTATCGGTTATGTTCATAGACAGATTGATTTGCAGTTAGATTTTTGCATGATTTGGGGTTTGTTTAATTCATCAAATATCCCTATTAGAAGCAAGCAAAAAAATTCATATTTGATATTTATTTTCTTGTTAATTTTGGTCAACGGCAAAAAAGTTTGGGTTTTTGACATTTTGTGTGTGTGGCAATGTTGGGGGAGCTGAAGGAATGATTGCCTTTTGGATGGGGGATACAGCTAGACTTGGTAAATGGATGTGTTTGTGTTGTTTTCGTGTCATATCCGTTATTTAATAGATCGTGCTGTGTCAAGCTTATTAACTTAACAAGTTTTTAATAATTGATCCGATAACGACTTGGCATTCTTAAATAATTCTAAAAGAAATAAAGCAAAAGCCACCCACCAAAAAGAACAAAAACAAAAGGAATTTAACTTCTATGTATTTTTTTTTTTTTTGGTGAACAGATTCATTCATTCGAGCCCAAACCATTTGCCTTCCACACAAACGGCTTAGAAATGTCTTAAATATTGAATCAATCACAAAAGCAATTACCGATTTTTTTTTTCTGCCAGTTTTTTTGGTTAAATATATAAAAAGGAACTTAGAGAAGGGGCAAAAACCAACTTATGTAAGCATTCGTATGATAAATGGTCCAAAGCTAGTTTACCTATAGAAAAACTCGACAGCTTCTCTCTTCCAATGCCTAAACCCAAACATAAACTAGCAAAGTCAGTACATTCAACGAAATCGTGGAAGAGATACCATCTTTCCAATTTGCCCTCCTCGACGGTCGTACCTTGCGGTGCAAGTGTCCCCTGATATTCAAGCCTCTGCACTTCTTTCCAGCAGAAGTGAGTCCGACAAGTCCCCTGTGGTTGTGAACCGATTGCAGATCCAGTTCGTACGTCCTTGTGTCGTTGTGGATTGCATTGTGGGCAGCTTCAACCAAGATTGCCTCTCATAGTATTTGTATGTTGAATCCTGCAAGGAAGACAGTTAAAAGGGGTAATTTTTGTGTTTATGTGTGCCATCCCCATGTTTTACTATTTCACTCAAATTATTAATATATTCTAGAAGTGTGACATATCAACTATGTCGGTCACTTATATAATAACACATGAATTAGTAGCATCACGTGATAGTGTTTCAATTATACACAAAATTCTTTAGTAAAAGATATCATATAACATCAAATGGTTGATAGTGATAAACGAGAGACTTCTCAGTTCTCAAAACTACATATGTGCATGTCCAAAAACTCAAATTCAATGCAAACAATTTTCTAGGTTAAACAATTACCCTAACTTATGTCATTCAGAAGTCAAGGGTACCAAGCACTCACATTAAGTTTCTAATTTTCTGTATTTAATATATAAAATGGAAAATGTGGTCTCATGGCCTATCCCAAACTGTAAAGGCTGCTCCAGAAGACGATAGGATGTGAAGATTAATCGATATGCGATGTTAACATTTGAAATGTACAAGCATTGGTTGCCTGCTCCGTTCAGTTTAGGGACTGATCAATGTCCCCCGTCACATATATCACAACAAGCCATCATAATTTTGTCGACAAACCTTAAAATTAGAAGATAATACAGCATGTATATAATTAATATATGAATGCAATCAAGTTAATCAGCTTGTTGTGATTACCTCGTTAACCCAGTAAGAACCTTGAGACCGCCTAGTTTCCGGCCAGCCAGCTACTCTGCAACCGTGCACTTGCTCCGTTGTTATTTCAATTGAGTGACGCCCTGGTTTGAGGGTTTACTATACACAATACCCTTAAAAACTGGTCTCTTACGTCCACCGCGTCTCACACGCACACGGTAAACAACATAGCCTGCAAAGAGGTAAACTTTAGTCACAAAGTCTGAAGCACATCGGGTATAATTCCCAACCGAGCAGTTGGGGGATAAAGAATACCGTTATCTTCCACCATTAACATGCAAAATAATGGACCATCTATCCTATTTCTTGATTTTTCGTATAACTGTGTCTGTATTACAGAAGAAGAATACCCTAAATACTCAAGAACGCTTAACCAATCTTATAAGTTCAATTAAACAAAACACTTAAGAGTAATTGGAGAAAAAAAAACACTTGTTCGATAATTGACTGTGAAATAGTTTTGGTACCCTTCTTCTATTGAAAAAAAGGAATGGTGCTTTTCAAAAGCATATATGAGGTTTGAAGCGTCTTTAAGTGTAATATTATCGAGGGCAAAAACTCTAATTATTTCCGACGACTTCTACCAAAAACGAAAATAAAATAATTCTAACGACAACAATATCCAGCAAAATCAGTCCATACATGGACTAAAACGCTAAAACACTAAAACACATCACATTCGAAACTAAAGCAACAGGAAACAAAATAAAATATTCCACACAAAACGAGCAAAAATAACATCTTCAAATCTTACTTTTCACTTTCATGGGTTGGGGAGAAATGCAACGGAAAGCAAAAGATTCATATATTTTGTTAGGAAATATTTTTGTTCGTCACTCTCAAGTGATGTTGATGCTCACCACATTTATTACTATTAAATAAGTTTAAATTTTGAGATCTGTGTTGTGGATGGACACAAATCTCAAAATTTAAACTCATTCAACGTAATAAATAAGGTGGTGAGCAAAAATGCACCCATTTTCTTAACTTTGCCGAGTTTTTCTCATTAGCCACAACCAGTAACATCATTAATTAACCATATACAACCTTCAGATTGAAAATCAACAAGTTTGTCAATTGTCAGTCATTTTGATCATTCCGTAAAAAATCTCCATTAAATTGAGGGTCATTTTGTCAATCAACCCCTCTACTTGCTTTTTCATTTAACGGAGATTTTTCACGGAATGACTAAAATGATTAATGGTGGACAAACTCAGGGATTACCTCCACCGATTTCAATGTTAAAGATCAAAATAAATAGTTATGTCAATCTCATGAACTATTTTGACAAAAAAAAAAAAAAAACTTTTATTTTTAAAACCAATAGAAAACTATTACGACACCTAAACAATCTCAAGCGATATTCTAAACTATTGAAATCTAATAGAGAACTCGGATAAAGAGTGATGAGATGTACGTGGCTTTTCAAGTGAAAATTGCATAGTTGGACCTCAACTATTTGGTAATTACCGTTCGAGTTGTGTTTTCGGTTCTACTTGTTGCCAAAAGATTCGGGTGGTAATGAAAAAAGTAATTACTAAAATTAAACAAAAATCATAGGTAAAGCAAGGGTAAAGTTGTGTAGTTACTTATTCGACTCTCGCAATGTGGGGGGTCTTGTTGTCTTGGATTCCCCCTTTAAACAAAAAACATAGGTCGTATCCATAAATCCCCATTTGCAGGCAACCTGAAAATGTACCAGCACTGGAAGACCATAACAAAGCACGGTTTGAAACATAAAATGCCTAACAATGCAGAGGATTGGAAAACTTCACCAGCCAGTCATCCAATGGGGATATACAACGTGATGTCGTCGGATTTAGGGTGAAGCCTTGTGGGTTCGAATAACCACCACACTCAAGAGGACCACAACGGAGAGCATGAACGATGTTTTCAGCTTGTCCACAAAGCGATTGCTGGCTTCTGCTTTCACATTTCCACTGCTTGGAGGTTGAAATAAATCGCCCATGACCTTCGTAATTTTCTCGATTGCTTCCATGACTTTTGCCATAGTGTTTTGAAAGATCCACTTCACAATGTTTGTTGCTTTATCGTTGTTATCATCGGAATTCTCTTGTGGACTATCAGAGCTATTGTCTTTATCTGCGTCTATGATGAAAAATTCACGTCGAAACCAGCATTAGTCATGACTACATTCATCCAACTTGTGAAACACGTATGAACATACATTCATAAGAAACAGATGCAACGAACACCAGGAAAACAACACGTAAAAGAGGCATCTACGAATAACAAAAGACGCTCGTGAACACAATATGAGACTCGTGGAATCTTATTGTAATGTTAGAATGTTATAATTACAACCCTAAATTCAATTACTGATACTCGTTACTGAAATTCATATCACACCAACCTGCATAGGAAGACTCCCGGAGCTCCCACACCACCTCATTGTTCATCACAGCATCCCAAACCGCTGTATCAGATGACAATGCGATCACCATTCTCTGCACAAGAAAATACCCTTATGACATAATTCTAAAAAGAGGAAATTTCCATATTATGGCTTGTCTAATTTAATACCATACCAAACATACCCCTATGACCAAATTGCCACCAGAGTTATTTAACTTTTCAAAAAAGCCAAAAGCCAAAAGCCGGATAATCTCTTTATTTTTTATTTTAAACAAAAAATAACCCAATAATTAAAAAGATAACAAATGAATTACTAACTCACGTACTAAAAACAAGAAATTGTTTAAGCAAGAAAATGCAAAAATAAATAAATAAATAAATTACGGACAGCAATAAAGAAAGAAAACAAAGTTGAAAGCTGAAGGCTGAGAGAGCTTACATTGTACTCACTCAGCAGAGTCTGCGCCCGACGAGTTTCTTGACCGTCATCGTCGTCGCCGCCGACGCCGCTGCACCGATTCGCAGCTCAAAAATGTCAAATGAAAAACTAATAATGATATCAACTTTGACAAAAAATGAAATCAAATGGGAATTGGAGGGTGAAATTATGAGAGTTACGGAGTGGAGCAGTTGGTTCGCTGTTCTTGCGAGGTTGGGCTTTGGGAATGAACCCATGCTGGAAAGAAGAAGAGCAATTATTTCAGGTCTGGATGGAGTTACGGTGGAATTGAACAAGAAATTTGATGAGAGAGAAAGTGCTGGATGTTACCTTTCTGCGACGGGCGGAAGGATCGTTGCTATCCATGGCTTTTTCGACGGAGAAGAAGGACGAAAAAAATAAGGCGGGTGTCGAACCGAGTTCGTTTTCGAAGATGATAGACGAAATTTACCACGCTGCCATCCGGCAACGTTTCTGGAGATAGATAATTACATATATACGTGCTCCTAATGCTTGAATAACTTAACTAAATTTGGTAGGAATCCACTAATAAAATTGGATAAAGAGACTTGAAAATGTTTTATTCGTGTCTTTGTAGCGTTATGTTTGTAACGCTAATAAAAAGTCCTTAATGCATCAGTATACTACTCAATTCGTCAAATTTCGCCCAATATACTTGTAATAACAGGCTTTGTGACATTATTTTTTATTTTTGAACAAACGATATTATCTACATGGGAGGGGTGGACTTAGTCTTACAATAGACTAACAATAAAGTGAGTCCAATTTGTTTTTGACAAGAATCGAACCAAAGAAATAAGACCTCTCACTTACAAGTGAAAGTAATACTACTAGACCATAGTACTAAGTGACGGCTTTGTGACACTATTAATAATCAACTAATCTTAGGATTGGTTATAATCCTAAATGGATAGCGTATTAATATCAGATGGTCTTAAGTTCGGTAGACATCCAAATGAACAAGCTTATCATGATAGTCTTACGTTCGATTAACACCCCAATGAATAAGTGCATTAAATACAAGAATTTCCCAAGTTCCTTATAAACGTCACTTTCGTTAAGGAAAGCATTACAGCTGCCTCTCTTATGGGTTGGTTTTACAGACCCTTCACAGTTCAAGCAGATCCAGTTGATCCTGCAAGGAACACAGTTAAAAGGGGTAATATTCCCGTTTATATATATATATATATATCTCGATGTTACTATTTCACTCAAAATGATTAATATATCTAAAAAGTGTGGCATATCAACTATATCGCCTACTTATATAATAATACATGAATTAGTTGCATCACGTGATAACGTTTCAGGTACACGCAAAATTCTTTAGTAAAAGATATCGTATAACATCAACCACTTGAACGGTGATAAATCAGAGATACTTCTCAATTCTCAAAACTATGTGGATGTCCAAAAACTCAAATTCAATGCAAAAATTTTTCTAGGTTAAACAATTGCCCTAATGAAAGTTCTTGGATGGTACCAATCTAACTTAGGGGTGAATACGTTCAAGCTTATAGTGTGACAGCCCGTCCCAAAAATATTACAACGTACGTGTGAAAAGACAAAATTGCCCCTAGTTTGATTTCTTTACGTTTATTGGTTGTTTTTGAGTTTGGTTGGCATGTTGTAGGCCACACACACCTTCCCACACACCACAACCTTTCCTCCTGTTTCTCTGCGCCTGTCCCGAGCCCCATTCCCTTCCCATTTCCTTTGAAACGTACGGACACACCCACACACCCATCGAACCTTCACAGATCGTGGAATCTAAGCACATATTCAGACTCGTGAGGCTGGTAGGAGTCCAACCATGCCCATTTCAGGTAAGAACACCTTCGTTTTCACGTCGATTACACGATGTCCGATTTGAGGTACTGTTCATGCACACGTGATTTCTCACGTTTTAGGGAATTTCAAGCTTGTAGGTAGCTTGGTGAGGTCCCTAGGAGGCTCGGGGTGGTTCGTTTGATGGTTTTGGACGTCGGGATCACTAGTTTCGAAGTTGGCCGGAGTTGGGTTGATTTTTCAGGTGAGATTTTGTGGATTTTAGCCCTTGAAAGTGGTATGATTGTGTTCCTCTAGTTCTAAGCTTCATTTTGGTACCAATTTTGGGAAATTTGGATGAAAAACGAAGAAGATATTAACGTTTGAAAAATTCCCGATTTTCCGGCGTCGGCGACGGCGCCGGAGGCTCGCCGGAGAAGACGACGGAATATTTCGTCCAGTCTGACGGAATATTCCTGACCCCGTTGACGGAAACCGTTAGGGATAACGAAATATTCCCTCACGGCGTCAGTTGATGCCGTTAGCGTGCCAGGCACGTGCCTGCGCGTGGCCGGCGCGTGGAGCGCGTGCGGGGTGAAAAATTATTTTAAAAATATGGGGATGTTCCTGAGGTTGAGTAGATCACGTTGGTGTATTCATACACCCCATTTGAGCATTGTATGAGAAGTTATTTATAAAGGTTGGTTATGTGCTTTAAAATTAACGTTTCTATAGTTGTTTCGCATATAGGTGAGACGTATCCCGAGGACGAGCGTGGTCACTCGAGGCAGGGGGGTTACGACCCTTCCACTTACTGGTGAGTGGGCTTTTGGTTTTCCGTATATACCTATATACTTATATTTTCCCAGAAAATTGATTTGAATTGTCATTTGCCATATGCCATGCATTAGATTATCGTTATTTATGCATTGTTAGTTGCATTATTAGTTATATATATACATATGCATATTGGGTGCTGCGGACGCACAGGTAAGTGCCAGGTAAGTGTTATTCATGTTTACATTTAGTAGCGATTCGAGATGCTTAGAGAGCTCATAACCTGCACCCCCGGTGTTAGTGCTCCCGCCCAGAGTAGGGCACAGTCCTTCACGTGTTGTTCACCTCCCGCACCACACGCTCAGCTTGGATCCAAGTTAGGTGCACAGTCCTGTCGTACAGACCACTTTAGGTGGTTCCGACTCGTAGGTGACCCGCGATTATTCGCACAGCCTTTACGTGATCGTAGCACTAGAGCGTTTATATGTATTACACCCAGGCCTGTCGTACAGACCACTTTAGGTGGTTCCGACTCGTGGGCAGGTTTAGTTAGTTATTGAGATTCGAGCTCTAGATTCAGCCGTACAGGTCACGTTAGGTGACTCCGGCTGCCAGACTATATGATATTGATATGATTTTTACCTGAGCACTTGCATTTCATTGTGAGATTTGACATGACATATTCTTAAGCATGATTGGTATATATATATATATGTACATATGTTTATTTTCTGGGAAGTATACAGGTTTTACGCCGAGGGGTTAGAACTTATTTGTTAAATGGTTTTTGAAAAGCTTTGTTTTTGCCCACTCACGCTTTTGTTTTGCGCCCCTCCAGGTTCTAGCTGTCTAGTAGGTTTGGTGGTTTCCCAGAGGGCTTTCCCGGCATTTCTGACAGACGATCACCAGCGTAGGGCCACCTTCGGGTGTACTGTTGTCGCGTCATTTTCATTTGGACTGCTTAGGCGTTATGCTCTGAACTTGTGTCTCACTTACGCTAGCACTTATTTCTTTTACCTTTTGTATGCTAGTTTTTATTTATTCGTACTTGTTACCTTACTATTTTTATTAGCTTCCGCACTGTGCACATGGTTACGTCACTTCCACGTGACGGCCAGCGTGCCCTGATCTCGATCGGGGTGTGTCATATAGTCTAATTCAAAATGTAGTTTAAATTAACCAGTTATGTAGACTAAATCCTACACATTAATATTTAGTAGAAACATAGAGAGTGGACATACATGTAAAATTCAACGAGGCAAAACTCACCACTGAGAAAATCTTAGGCTACCAAGCCTTGATACACTAAGATGAATGAATGCAAAAAAAAAAAACTTATAAAACTCATCTTAATACATCCATAACTAGAAGGTAGTTTTGTCTCCACGCCTTGGCTACTCGATTTTTCCAGTCTTTGAGTGAAAGTGGAACGACATTAATGCGGTCGTCGATCAGATTCTCCTCGAACTTTCCAGGATACTACCGCCCCCATCATACATAATGAATACAACCAAATAAAAACTCCCCCTAGCTAAAATAACCTCTCCCCCTTATTGTCTCAGGAAGGGCCAAAGAAGGAACAAACACTAGTCATCTTTGTCGACTGAATCTTCATTTTGGTTGTATTCATAACATCGGACGGCTTCCTCCTCCCTAACGCTGACCGGTAGTATCCTATTATATTTCAAAACACTAAAACACATCACATTCAAAACTAAAGCAATGACGAAACAAAAATAATAATTCCATGAACACGAGCAAAATAACATCTTCATTTCTTAGGTTTCACTTTCATGGGTTGGGGAGAAATGCAACGGAAAGCACAAAATTCATATGTTTTCTTAACTTTGCCAAGTTTTTCTCATCAGCAAAAACCAGTAGCATCATTAATCAATCAAGTACAGTACCCATTGTCTGTGGAGAGACCGATCTCCTCCGTCCTCTCCCGTTTCTTCTACTAAAACTTGGACGTTTATTTAGGTTTTCGGAACAAGCTAGGGTTTTATAATATTTTCCATTGGTTCTGCCGTTTTCTGTACATGCATTGCCAACTTGGGCCTCCCTAGTGGTGAATTTTAGGCCGAACTTGTGCAAAATTTTCTGGGTTCTAATTGGTTGGGCCATTGGGAACAAAAAGTTTTCACAACCAAAAAAAAGTCAGAAAATTAGGGTTAGAGAAGATAAAGAGAGAGGAGAGTGAGAGAGAGATGGAGAATAGAGTCGGAGAGAGAGTGAGAAGAGAAAGAAGACGAACAGTGAAGATGAAAGTTAATGAATTTATGACTATTTGATTTTCGGTTGAACGTACATGATGTAAGGAATCTGGATGGAAGAAATTCGGAGAGAATCTTATTCTAAGAATTTGAAACCAAGATATAGTAAAATGAAGAAGATGTCTTAACTAACAAAATAATCCACCACTTGGTTCAATATTTCTAGGGACTCTATTTGTTCCGATATAATAAAGACTAGAACTTTGAGTTCATTGTTCACTACCCTAATCGACCGGCCAGGTTCACACATGTTATAAATAAAGTATTTTTATTTGGGTTAACGTTAAGTACATAACAACAGAAAATAATGAATGATATACATCCAAGCAAAGGAATAAACTTTCGCCAAAAATAAAAGCAAACGAATAAACAACAGAAAGATAAGGGGAAGCCACCTCCCTCAAGGAACCAACGTGGAGCCTTCTTTTGTTAACAAGAAGTTTGTGACGCCAATGGAACACCGGACCATTTTATATACCTATCCACATCCTGGCCTCGAGAATATCAACAGAACAGGAGTCAGAGGCAGACAAGCAAAGGAATCCACTGAATCCTGGCTCCCCCTAGGTTTACGTAACGTAGAAGGAAGACACAGATACATAGTCTGAGAACTAAAAAAGGAGAAGAAAAAAAACCTAAAAGTTGTGTGTCAATGATGTTTGGTGGGAGAAGCATGGGCGGAGGAGGTGGAGGAGGAAGCATGTTTAAGGCTGTGAGTAGGGCAGCAGTCACCAGAACTATTGCTGGTGGCCCACCAATTCAAGAACCCCTATCTTCTTCTTCCAGTTCTACTGCTGCTAATACCACCACCACAAATACTACCGCCACCTCCACTTCCAGGCACAACCAGAAGCCCAGTTCTTCCCACAACCTCTCTCTCTCCTCACCCACTTCTCCTTTTTCCTCATGCAATATTCCTCTGGCTTCCAATTGTGGGACACCCAGTTGGCCTTCTTCCCCTCGCTTTGATGATTTTGATTGGGTGACTGTGGATAATGGGGTTAGCAGTGAGGATGATGAGAGGCTTTCACATGGGTTTATGGATGATTTTGTTCTTGGACCTGTTCCTTCCAAGCATGAAGTTCACAATGCTGTCTCTGCCCTTCAACAGTAAGCAACTCAATACTCTTTGTCTCTGATAAATAAAACCCTTTGTGTATGTGTTTTATACAGTATACGCGAGTTAGGCCAGTTCGTTAAGGAAGTCTTTATTGCCTGGGGCACTCGAATTCAAATTTTCCTGCCCGTGCTTGTAAATTAGTTTAATTTATCATCGCGTCATAAAAAAACTTATGGCGGCAGCTGTGGGTCAGGCTTGTTGGCGAGGGCAGGTGTGCATGACCTATCGCATTCGAATTTAAATCCGTAATTTAGATTAGTTTATCAACTTGTCAAATAAAAAAATGATTAATTAGCTGCCTAGTGTTGTAGTTTACACTAATCATGCCCTGTTTGATGAAATGGTTTAGGGTTCTCAGTCCTTTCATCAGGGATAAGTTTGGTTCTGAGTCAGACAGAGATGTGGATGATCAAATTACAAGTCCTTCTGCTGGGTTTGTGCACCCAGCACCTTCAGCTGGGTCAGAATTAGATTGGATGGAGCCGTCTGCCTATCTTTGTAATAATTCAAAAATGTTGCAGTCTCACGGTGTTGAGAGAGTTTATGATGCTTTCCATCTCTTGCAGACTGAGTCTTCTGTGCAGGTTCTTTCTTTAATATCTTTCGTTTTTGTTTCTCATAAATTTCTGAATTTTGGTTTGAAGAGTGCATGTAAACTAAAGGAATTAAGACCGTTGATTCTGTTTGATAAATTATTTTCACATTTTATCTTGCCGAGGATGAAATTTTTAGAATTATGTCATAAGGGTATTTTCTTGTGCAGAGAATGGTGATGGCATTGTCATCTGATACAGCGGTTTGGGATGCTGTGATGAACAATGAGGTGGTGCGCGAGCTCCGGGAGTCCTTCTATGCAGGTTGGTGTGATATGAATATAAGGAGTATCATTGATTGACTTATAGGTTCTAATTATAACAGTTTAATATTCCAATAGGATTTCACAAGTGCCAGATTGTCTTCACAAACGTCATTTGTTAATCGTAGATGCCTCTTTTACGTGTTGTTTTCCTGGCGTTAGTTGCCTCTGTTTCTTATGAATGTATGTTCGTGCGTGTTTCAGTGATGAAATAAGGTGAAGTTTATAAGCTTAAGAGCAATAAGCTTGAAATTTATAGCTTGTAATAGTTGAGAGATGAAATACCTTGTCAATGCTCACAAGTTCGATGAACGCAGTCATGACTAATGCTGGTTTCGACATGAATTTTTCATCATATACGCAGATGAAGACAATAGCTCCGAGAGTCCACAAGAGAATTCCAATGATAACAACGATAAAGCTACAAACATTGTGAAGTGGATCTTTCAAAATACTATGGCAAAAGTCATGGAAGCAATCGAGAAAATTACAAAGGTCATGGGCGGCTTCTTTCAACCTCCAAGCAGTAAAAACGCGAAAGCAGAAGCCAGCAATCGCTTTGAGGACAAGCTGAAAACATCATTCATGCTCTCCGTTGTGGTCCTGTTGATTGTGGTGGTTACTCGAACCCACAAGGCTTAACCCTAAATCCGACGACATCACGTTGTACATCCCCATTGGATGACTTGCTGCTGAAGTTTTCCAATCCTCTGCATTGTTAGGCAGTTTATGTTTCAAACTGTGCTTTGTTATGGTCTTCCAGTGCTGGTACATTTGCAGGTTGCCTGTAATATGGGGATTTATGGATATTACCTATGATTTTTGTTTAATATTGTTAAATTTACCCTTTTTTCAGAGATTCAGTTGATTTTTTCATTGCCACCCCAATCTCTTGGCAACAATTACAACCGAAAACACAACTCGAATGGTAATTACCAAATGGTTGAGGTCCAACCACGCAATTTTCACTTCAAAGGCCAAGAACATCTGATCACTCTTTATCTGAGTTCGAATTTCCTACCCGGTAAAATTTTAGAATACCGTTTGGGAATTGTTATTCGCACTCTGCAAATCTAACTGTGCACTCCAAACTTTCTATATTAAAAAATATACTCTTATGATGAGTGCACAACAACTGTGTGAGTTTATTTTACACAGCTGGTCCCAAGCCAGGATGAGGAGAGGACGTTAGGTAGTCGATAAGCGGCCCTCCGTTTTCACGTCAAATCTCTATGACACTAAAAGACTTTGTTGTTGTTGTTGTTGTTGTTGTTGTAACCACATGGATTCAGTTAAAAAAAAGATAGTTATCCTTGAAAGAGATGGATTAACTAAAAAAAATTGCGAAGATAAAAACAGTTTAACCACATGGATTCAGTAAAATTGTTTAACCAGATGAATTTTCTAGCTACAACCGCTTACACAACCTCAGTAACTCTAGCATCATATTTACTCTCAAGATTTTCCTCTACATATCTACCATTTCAGCTTTCTCATGTGCATAATTCCCCCATTTCCACCTCAATATGCACATGATTTTGGTGACATCCCTGCATTCAATCGATGCTAATCACATTTAGGAGGGAATCCACATCAGGAGTTACAACAGCTCGCTGGCGCAGCTCTCCAAGAACGATGCATTTCTTCTCTGCAGTGTTGGCTACCACAACATCTTGAGCAGACACGCTGTCTGAACCAGGTGAAACCTGCGTATCGTAAGCACATAAATGAACATTATGTTCTCATAGTACTTGAATCTAGCTTGGACTCAGTTGGAGGTGAAATCTAATGACAAACTACTCTGTGCCGGACAGATGACACGAAATCATCATTCTATGGATTGTGAAACAGTAAGAGTAAGTGGTAAGTAAACCGAACGTCATTGAACTTGATAACGAAATGATTTAACATATATATAACCAACAAAAATGATAAGAAGTTTCTATAATCGTGCTTTCTTTCAGTTTAAGGAAAGTTAATGGCTGTGACTTACATCATAGAGGGTATCTCCTAGCCTCAACTTGATTGCTCCGCTCTTATAAACCAGCATTTTACCCATAAATCCGGCTGGCAACTCTTCGAAACTACCTTCCTTCTTTGGAGCACCTGAGCTCTCCAGCGATGTTGAGCTTCCAACTTTCTCTTTGCCCCTTGCAGTAGCTGATGGCTTTGACGTCAATGGCAAAATGGAAGGAAGTTGAACGAATAACAACTTCGCTTTCACTTTTTCCTCCTGTCAAGTAAAATTTAGCAACATCCCATCAAATATATCACTCTGTTTAGTGTTTAACATTGTTGCGTCAGAAATAAGTTACTAATCTAATACGCACCAGCAGCCCTAGTTTTGAAGCAGGATTTATCGTGCTCTCATCATACTCTTTTTCAGCATCCTCCCCGAATTCGTTCGCATTAAGGATTTCTAAAAGCAAAACAAAAGGTCTATGAATTACAAGACGACTATAAACAAAAAGTGCCATCAATTGCGTAAGGAAAACCCTCGGTTTTCCAGCTTTCAGAAAGAATACCTGGGTCTCCAGAGTTGGGTTGCCTGAGAGGGAGAGTAGTAGGATAGTATGTATTCTCATAATCCTGTAGAAGCACCAGAGACGCGTTTGTGAGAGAGCGATACAGAGAGATAGAATGACATAGAGACAGATATATGGCGCACGTTCTTACCCAACATTCTCTATCATTTTTCTTGACAATCTGAAATGGTTCTGCATCAATAGCATCTTCCATAGTTATATCCGTTTCAGCTTCATTAGAGGCTGAAGGAAAAGTAAAGAGACTTTGCTCATCATCAGAGCCTTTGAGAACTAAGCTGCCGCTTTTGCTACTATCGGCATCCTTTGCAGCTCCAAATGTTCTGATAGAAGTTGAGGATGCATCCGCTGCTCCAGGACCAAACGCAACTTGCACGGAGGCTGAAGATTGAACAGCAAACATGAACGGAAAGCAAACCCAGGATAATCTAAAGAAAACAAGTAACGTGCAAGCAAAGTTAACGAGAAATTACATTTCTTTTCGAGTTTACCTCCCCGTCTTCTCTCCTGTAAATGCAACAACAGAAATCAATCATCTGAGCAGCTAATGCTTATACAAAACTGATAGAAATCAATCATCTGCGCGTGTTCTTACACTAAGCCCATAACCCTTTTGAAAACAGACACCATACGAAAGAGTAATTCCAGGTTATACACTTGAGAACCACATTTCAGCTGTGCACAAATTGGCAAAACAGACATTGTGAATTATGTTCCGTTTCTAAACTACTCCATATACGGGGGACGGTGACTCAAACTTGAGAGTAAGGAGGATTCGAACTTAAGATGCAAAGAGGACGGGCACACTTTTTTCGCTAATTTGCCGAACCCACATGTGCAATCCATCGCATTTTCCGACAAATGAAAAATGAAACTTTGAAAGTCTAAACTCTAAACCGCAAACCCCAAAAGAGGAAATTTCAGCATTATGGATTTGTCTAATTTAATACCATACCAAACACACCCTATGATCAAATTGTTAGGACTTCACCTAACTTTTCAAAAAAGCCAAAAGCCGCTTAATCGGTTTTTTATTTAATTAATAAAAAACCCCCAATACTTAAAAAGAAATAACAAATGAATAAATAATTCACATACAAAAAACATAAGAAATTGTTTAAGCAAGAAAATGAAAGAAAAAAAAAAGGGACTGCAATAAAGAGAGGAAAAAAAAGTTGAAAGACGAGAGAGATTTACTTTGTACTCACTTAGCAGAGTCTGGGCCCGACGAGTTTCTTGACCGTCATCGTCGTCGGCGTCGGCGTCGCTGCATCGATTCGCAGCACAAAAATGTCAAATGAAAACTAATAATCTTATGAATTTTGACGGAAAACGAAATTAAAAGGGAATTGGATGGTGAAATTATGAGAGTTACGGAGTGGGAACAGTTGGTTCACGGTTCTTGCGAGGTTGGGCTTTGGGAATGAACCTACGCTGGAAAGAAGAAGAGCAAGAATTTCAGATCTGGATAGAGTTATGGTGAAATTGAACAAGAAATTTGATGAGAGAGAAAAAGCTGGATGTTACCTTTCTGCGACGGGCGGAGGGATCGTCGTTATCCATGGCTTTCTCGACGGAGAAGAAGAACGGAAAAAATGAAAATTGGGGAAAAAAAATTGCAGACAGCTGGTGTCGAACCGAGGTCGCTTGCGAGGAGGAAGCCAGATGGAATTTACAACGCTGCTATCCGGAAGAGTTTATAGGAGCACTAAAATAATGAGATATACCACGTTCCCAATGCTTGGACAACTCAAGTCTCTTCTAGTAACAGGGTTTGCAATGTTTAATACATTAGCTTTTGATGTAAACATCTCTGCTCGAATTTAATAAAATTCTTACCTTGAAAAAAAAAAAAAAAAAAAATCTTCAATTTGGTTATAATCCAAAATAGATAAGCACATTACGATTAGATGGTTTCAAATCCGACAAACATTCAATTAGATATGCGTATTACGATTAGAGGGTCTTAAGTTACGCAGAAATCCAAATAAATATGCATATCACGATTAGATGGTCTTAAATTCGATAGCACACTTCCCAAATGGATAAGGGAGTTTTAACGAAAAACTCATGATACTGTTCACTTTAACGAAAAACCACATTTTTACATTAAAAAGTCAATCTTGGTATTATTCACTTTACCCTTTATTTTGTCATTATCATTAAAATTCAAAATTTTCAAATCATTTTCATTAGCTTTCTTAATAGATAATAGTATCACGATCATCAAATCCTCAGTTCAATTAACAACCAAATGAAAAAATGCATCAAATACCATAATTCCCCAATTTCCCCATGCACCGAATACTAATCGGAAATCTCCCACGCCATAAATTGGAATAGTTTTAGAATATCACATGTACCAAAAATCGTCTCATATGTTATGCAACCATACGTACCAATGGTAATCGCATTGATTAAAATTAAATTCCAATTGCAACTAGCTATTTAATTTTAACGGTTGTATCGTTAACACATCGTGTCCAATCTCAATCGTCATATCGATAAGAGCTTTCAAGTTTTTGCACATATCAATGAACTAGTTCTTGAACGGCCCGTCCAATATCAGTTAGGTCTTTTAGATTTCAATTTTTGTGCTCGAGATAGAGGCATCCTACACTGAGCGTATACCGCTTCCGACTAACCGGCACTTCATTCACATACCGTTTCCTGCAAAACCTATCTACATTACCAATATAGGAAGGCCTAAACATAGCATCAGTCAAAAATGGGAGGGCCAATTCAACAGAGCACGCAATGAAATAACGAAACGAGGTCCGAACGAACAAGTAAAAGCCACAAACTGTTAGAAACTGGTTAAAATTGGTGCAATTGTAAAATATCTGCATACACAATCACAATTGGACTATTCAGTGACAGCCCTAAACCAGCAACAAGAGAGAACACAGGTTCTTCTCCTCTTTCCCAAATCAAAGCTCAAACCTAGGAAGAACGATTTGAACTCGAAATCTAGCGGCTTCATCCATGAGGATCCGTCAAACCTAGTAACACCAACCACTTTGAAGAAATTAGATAACGAAATACCTCTGTAAGTCGTAAAAAGTAAATGCTCACCACCTAGTATATATACACAATTGCGTTTGCATAGAGAACAAGGGCCTACACGATCCTTACTTTTCTTGTGCCGCGAGTACATACTATATAGTGAAAGGAAAGGTTGCTACTACTACTGTGTTCGCATTGAGCACAACTGAACTTCAATGCATAAATTAGCCTGAAAAACAACCAAGTCCGAGCTCATCTGCAGACAGGGTTAGTGAATTGCCGCTGACGGGAGATGTGGTCGCTACAATAA